TAATTTACTTAGTGAAGAATAATCGAATTTACACGTGCATACGTGATTGTACTGGTCCTGCGCGGCGTCACACGTTGCGCAGCTACCCTAATTAATATATACGGTGTTGTTACTGTAAGTGTATTATGTACCGTATAATGCATTATCCGTATATGTTTGATGTTTTCTTTTGTAAAAGTTTTTATATTCTTATATTACGCTTTAATTATAAAACATTCACAATATACTTGCTGAGATAATTTGGTTTTAATTCCTCTATTTTTAATTTATTAAATGAATGCAATTAATTGTCATTTTCTTACTACTCGAAAACAATCCTCAACTTATTTAATTCTAAAGTGCATTAGTGCAACAATTTATCCCGTTGCATTTATCCGTTATAGCTATAGCGTTAAGATGAACATTACAGGCATAGATTTAATTCACGAATAGTTTAGGTTGGGAAATAAGACAATCCAGGTTTAGTTTAAGAAAGACTCATGAGTAAAGTCGAAAAACTGAATGGATTGCACGTGGCATAGGTAATAATTATGTACGATTGAATATCAGTAGCACAATAATTTGATTCGAAATAATACTCACGGAAAGAATAGTTTAAAAGCAATAATGCAAGTGAATTAGCTTTAAAAGTAATAATAATAAAAAAAATAAAAATGATAATCCTTCTCTTGCTGCTAACCCTTTTCAAATTGTAATTCCAAGGTTAGATCGAGCAATCCTAATAATGCTAATAAATTTTCATTATAATTTACATATTATTGTGCTTTGCAAAAAGGTGTGGCCTCTGCAGTTCACAATGTCACATGTGAGAATCGGTGTTTTTATTGATTCTAAGAATTTTGCTGATTTTAAAAAAATATAAACGTAACCGATAGAAAATATAGGTAGTAGACAGTCTAAAATTTCATAATTCTCCACAAAAGTCATAGAAAATGAAAATTAATATAAATTCTGTCGGCCAATTAGATTATGTTCGTACGCACGCGAAAAAATTTTTACAACCTTTTATTGTGACATTATAAAATTCTGTTTTCATATAGCTTTGATGCATTATTAATTGAGAGCTAGATAAAATTGGTCTTTAGAGCAAAATAATAAATCAAATATGCATTTGAGTAGTGATTTAATCATCAATTATGGTTTCAATAATCATATTCACTCCTACCTCTGTCTTCAAGAGTGCCCTAATTCCCCACCACTTCTGATTGGCTGTACTAATTATTCATTTATCGGAGCCAATCTAATTTCACGATCAAGTGTAACGTAAAAGAAACGCAAAAAAAAATGCAAAAATTAAAATCGCCCATAACTCTAAATTCAATATATGAAACCGTCTTCTACGCACTAATAAAAAATTTTCCTTGGTAAAATTTTGGTATAAAAAACGTCTTATAATTATAATATTCTAGTATAACAGCGCGAATTTTACTTGAAAATTTTTTTGATTACTAATATAAATACTCCAATTAGTACAGCCAATCAGAAGTGGTGGGGGAAATTAGTAAATCCCTGTCTTCAATAGATACCATTTTCCTGACAACCATTTTACCAATAATTAATTTAGTTAGGGTTAAACATTAGTAAAAGTGGAGTGAATCCTTAAATATGATTGTCTATGAAATCATTGCAAATAAACACTCCGATAAATTAATACGTACAAAAATTAATATGTAATCAGTGAAACGGAGTAGTTATAATTGTCTATGAAAATCATCGGTGAATAAACACTTCGATAAATTAATAAATTAATACAAATTTAATAGATTGTCGCTAAAATGAACCAGAGATGCAATCATGCATGCACATAGTGTGCATATGGTGTGTACGGGGCCCGTATAATTTCACCGACGATCACTTCACCGACAGCTCATTTAGCCGACATCACGCCAAGTGAAATTTAGTAAAAATATATACCTGTAACTAATCAAATGCTTAACCCTAACCCTATGTGATGCCGGCTAAATGAGCGTTCGGTGAAATGATTGTCGGTAAATTGATCGGAACTGGGTGTGGGTACATAGTGTTTTAAGTTCGGATTTTCCTGATTATGTGCACCCAATATGCTGATCAAACTTACAACTCATATAACCATAATCATACACCATGCATCGGATGGTTAAAAATGCATGCGTACGTACGTACGTAAGTCGTTCCAAAACCCATGTGATGTGATATCACATCAATTTTGCCGTCTATTTTAATAACAAAATCTTAGATCATGTATTAACTTTATAGAATGATGTCAATCTAGATATTCATACCATTGTACATCTCTTTTCCTATAGTTGTATATGTTGTAAGTGGAAGCGGAATTAAGTGGAAACGGAATTTTTATATAAACCCAGCATTTTGGGGTTGATTTTATCATATATATACCCTTACCCTAACCTTAATTTAACTTGGAAATTCCGAATCCACTTAATTCCATTCCCACTTACAACATATGTAAATACAACCTTAATAAAGCCTAAGAATTGATTTCTTACATTGGTTTATTATTTATACGGTTGCTTTTTATATTCGATACGATAGTCACGATGTCGACAAGCTATCAAGACAGTCAACAACACATTTCAAGTGAAGATAAAATAATTGAGGAAAAAAGTAATCAAGATGACCAACAACACAATTTAGACATAACGGATACAGACAATGATCAAAGTATTCAACAGGTTCAACAGAAATCCAATGAAATATATTACATCGTTGAACTAAAAAAAAAGTTTAAAGTATGGGAGAAGCTTCATTCTTTGTCCATTATTAGTGAAGTAATTACCATAGCTATTAGCATTTTGTTCATTGCGCTTGGTATTTATATTTCTGTCTCAGACAAAAATGGTATAGAATCAAATATTAATTTTATTGTTTCAAGCTCTGTTTTTGGTGTAAGCGGCATATCTATTTTGGGTGGTCTGTTTTCTATTATGAGAACATGCAGGTTTAAAAGCAAATTAGATACATTAGATGAATTATATATTAAGGAAAAGGATTTAGGAATCCCCAGAAATTTTGAATTTTGGGAATTAGAATTTAAAAATGAAAACGAAAAAGCAAAAGCTCAAGGTGAATCTGTAACGTCACATAAAGCTTATGAAAGAAGTCACCGAAAGCCATTATATTTTATGAAAAAACTTGTCAAGCATACAAAAATTATGTTGATGACTGAAGTTATGTGGGCTTTTGTATTTTCATTTCTATTTATTTTGGTGGCAACAATTTCCATATTTGACTTGATTAATGACTATAATAGCTCAGCAATTAAATCTTATACCGAGTTTCTTATTGCTACTTCTGTAATAGCGCTTATTTCTTGCTTAGGCCGTCTTTTTATAATCAAGATGGCTTTTCCCAAGATGATAAATGACGATACTAACTTGTTTAATGATAAAATCGACAATATAAAAGATCGTCTATCAGATCCATTATATTTTGTTGGGTGGATATTTGTATTAATTTGGTCCTTTTTTCATGGTTTGATTTCATTTAAATTGGAGTTAAAAAGAATTGATGTAAGTCATGAAGAGATGGTGAAAATTAAGCGTATTCTTTATGGCTTAGCTCTGCCTAAAGAAATAATTGTTTCGTGATTGATGTTACAACAATTTATTATATATATTTATTTTGTCTTTTAATCAGTGCCTTGTTTACACGGACAGAGTATAATTATAAAATTTAGATCTACTATCTACGCATTTAATTTCTTATTTAGATAATTGTAATATTTATTTATTTTATTTTATGTGTTTTTGGCTTTAAACACCTATATAAATCATCCTAAAAAAAATTGAAAATTTTATATTAAAACATTAAACTTAAATTTTTATTTTCATTTTTAACTATAACAATTATTATCTTTATGCTCTCAATTTATAATTTAGTTTAATTTGTAATTATATTTTATAAAATGTTATATTTTTGTTTTATAATTATAATCAGTGCACAAAACCTATTGTAAATATCAAAGATGTCTATTTCTGCCTCAATTTTGAAAAAATATTTTCAGAAAAAAATCACCTGAAAATTTTATGGAATCAATTTATTTGCTTTGAATTATACAGTCTAACATTTCTACAATCACACTATCGGGATCATACTAACTTTTTTTAAAAAATTGTGTTATAAAGATACAGTAGAGAAGTTTTATTTCTATAAATTTATAATAGTTTGCTTTTTAATAGATGCGGTTATAGAAAATTTTCCATGATGTGCTTATATGGGATGTGACTATAGGGAGGTTTGACTGTAGTAAAAAATAAATTATGCTTACAATTCTAACCAAATTCTATCCAGGATTATAGGCTAACTGGCCTGAATTGTAATTTAACTTTATTAAAATTTTTAAAATAGAATATTATTGTGCACAAATATTTTATAATGCACTTTATAAAATCAGATATAATATGAAATTCAAATAAACTCACTAACATATTAATCTAAATTAGTGCTCCGCATAATCAAATCAAATTTTGAATTTGAATCAAATATTTGACCAAATTAATTAAAAATTTGAGCAATATTTGGTTCAAATTCAAAATTTGATTTGATTTTGCGGAGTACTAATCTAAATTAAGGTAAAATGCTAAATTAAGTTAGAGTAGAATGTTAATAAAAAATATTTCTATATTAAAAATTTGTAAATAAAATTTTTTATTAAAATGTAAAAGGGTAATTTTATAAAAAAAAATTATGAGTTACAGAAAATTTTATAAAAAAATTGTGTTGCAAGTAATTTTTTATTAAAAGGCGAAAGGGTAATTTTATAAAAAAAATTATGAGTTACGAGTAATTTTTTATAAACATTTTTTTTGATTTTATATACTTTAAGTACTTTATAAATATTATAGCTTCAAAAGAAAATTTTGGGGGCAATTTATACTTTCACAACGTACGTATGTACAATGCCTTGCATAAGTTAAAAATATCCTTGTAATTTTGACCAATCGAATTTTAAGATTAAAAATAATGAACAGAATCCACTTTCTTACAAAAAAAAAACAAAATTTCTAAATTTTAATTAGAAAACCTTCTGCAGCCTAAATAAAATGTTTTTTGCTAAATTTACTATTATTAGTTTATTGTTCTAATCCTATTCATAACTATAACACGGTTTTCATGGCTTAAATTGTATACATAGCTTTTTTACTTAGAAAATAAAATGTTCTTTGACTAGTGATGAAATCTAGATAAATTTTGTCACTAGGATTATTTCAAGTCTCTTTGGAGAAGGGATCTATAGTATTTATTTTTTAATATAATTTGAATTCTTATAAAAAATATTCGAGTTTTAATATAATATCATGGATTGTTTTTTTTTGTGCAGATAAAAATTTACTGGTTTCCCATACTAAGATAAACTATGGTAAAAGTTTTTTTGAAGACTCATATTGTCATATATGTATAAAGTGTGCGTAAATACACATTTCTTAATATATATATTTTGCGTCAATTAGTAATGGGATTACGAGGATTAAAAATAAGTGATAATTAATCGTCGCATTTAATAATTTATTAAAAATCAAAATTTTTTAATAGATCATGATGCATGACGTTTTAATTTTTAGCACCTCTGGTCAACAGCAAAGTCCGTTAATGTTACACATATATTAAAACTGGTAAGGGATTATGGGTGTTCTCAAGCTGCACGCTCAATGTGACTAGCTAGTGATCGTAATAGTACACAACCCTATGGCATTATTAATTAGACCATTTTTGAGAACCGATAGTATGGATGTTGAGGACCGATAACATGGATGATCATATTATTGAAATATGCTCACATATCTACCTCATTGTGATTAATTTATGATCGTGTTGATGTTCAAGTATTACAATAAATAGAATATTGATTGAAATCGATGCTTGAACAAACACCTTTGACATTATTACCATTTAGCGATTATCATATTTTTATAAAATCGAAACAAAAAAGCAAAAATGATGAATCAACAGAAAGATAAAACACTATCTACGACAATTCCAAGTTCTATTCCTTTTTCAGACATTACCACAAACTAACAGAAAAATAAAACATCAACTCCAGTAATTTTAGTTCCTATTTCTCCTTTTTCAAACCTCACGAACTTTCATATGTTACTACAAACTATTCGACCCAACTTTTTCTGAATCCCACAGTGACTAATAAACCAGATAGTGAATACGATGAAGTAATTCGTATAAATATTTTTTAAAATGTGTTTATACTTTTCTTTAATATTAATAAAATATTACATTATCGTTATATGGTTAGATTTCACTTTTAAAATTGCCCGATAATAATTGTAGTCAAGAAAATTCATTGCCAATTTTAGAATCTGGATCTGCAAACGCCAATGTATCTGATTCTTATAACGCCAATACAATTACCAGTATTTCTTCTGTTAACAAGTTATCAAACAGGTGGACTTCATCAGAAACCCATTTTCTTATCAAAGAAGTAGGAAAAATCAACAGGCATTGCAGCAAGTTAGAGATCCAAGACAAAAAGGGCGAATCTGGGATAAAATTGTCTCAAATCTACAAGAATCTCCAGTTGCAAGTGTGGCTTTAAAAGGTTATACCAAAATGTCTATCCAACAAAAATAGGAATCACTTCATCAAAAATAACATAGTATCAAGGATACAATTAAAAATACAGGCAAAGAAGTAATTCAAACAGAATGGGAATTCTTTAATGACATGGAAGAAATGCTAAAAAAATGATCCAAGCATCATTGCACCAGTAACAAGTGATTCGATTAATGGTATAAAACATAAGCAAGATAATCAAGAAGAGGATGAAGTAAGTTATTAGTTTATTTTTTTATTTTTTTTATGTTTATCTAATTTAATTTAAATGTGTAATTATAATTATAGGTTCAATCTAAGAAAAAAAAATTTACATGATAATAAAAAAGCTAATATCGAAGAATTTAGAATTCTGATTAAAGAGCAAACCGAAACGATTATCGAAACGATTAAGGATCAGTATACTCGTATTTCAGAAATTCAGCAAAAGCAACATGCTGAACAGATGGATATTTTTAGACAATTTTTAACAAAATGGTTTAATATACATGTATGTACTAGATGCTGCACAAATATGTAATAGTACTTAATTAAAAATTGCATATTGCATTTGCTAAATAAGAATGTTTCACATATTACTGCATTTGCTAAATAGTACATATGTACGTACTGTACATATATATATAATTAAATATTCATAAGAATATTTGTTAGATAGTCTCTTCTCTGAACCCTCGCATTTCTTTCTCGTCCTTCATTTAATATAAAACTTAAAACTTTCTTCTAATTCATTATTATCATTATCGTGATTTTCTTCTATCTCAATTTCTTCTGGAGATAGTATATTCCCTCTATCTATACACAAGTTATGCAAAATGCAACATACATGAAAAATTTTAATAATTCGCTCCAGATCTGTACAATAAAATTCTTTCAATAAAATCCTCCAATGTCCTTTCAATATCCCAAATTCCTGTTCAATAATAATCCTCATTGATGCAAGAACCTTATTAAAATGATGCTTTCTATGAGTTAGAGTTTCATAATCAGAAAAAGCTTTTATTAAATATGTCCTAAGAGGATAAGCTGTATTCGTGATAATATAAGTGCCGCCTGGAACTCATTGTTCCAGATGTAAAGAAATCTCATGATAAAGGGAGGATCGATAAAATACTCGAGCGTCATGTACACTCCCTTCACAAAAAAAAAAAAAAAAAAAAAAAAATATTAATATAGTATGCCCATATATATACAAAGTATAAATTATTAACTAACCTGACTCCCCAACGTGTATAAAAGTAAACCATCCTTAATGATCAACAACACCAAGAAGATTAATCGAGTAAAAATTTTTACGATTAATAAAACGGATTCCATTTTTAGAAGGTCGATAAATCGAAATATGCATCCCATCCATGACTCCAATAACATTAGGCAATTTTTGGTTTTCTAAACCTGTTTCACCATACTCAAATCTATGTGTTACTGCTGCTAATCATGTATCTTGTAACCATTTTATACGTTTTCTTTCCAAATTTAGTAACACCTCAAGAAATCTGTCTGTAAAATGACACACTGATCCCTGGCTTGTACCAAGCGTTTGTTCTAATACACACACTCCTGCACTATTGGCTAATCACCATAATACAATGGCAATTTGTTTCCAAACAGGTGTTGCATTAGGAGCATCAGATGAAAAAGCTGGATGAATTTCCAAACGTGATACAAGAGAATTAAATGTTGCTAAAGTAATGCAGAAATGCTTTCGAAAGGAATTATACACTCCTTCATCATTTAAATATGGAAATACATCAACCCAAAAGCCTCCAGTTTTAGGTCTTTGCTGACGTGGAGCTCTTACATCAGGTGAGGAAAAGACAAATAGAATAGTTGTATTTATTGTCATAGAAGTAAAAAACAGAAGACAGTAAAGATTAACCATTCTTGTTGTTTCATCTTCCTGTCTTGTTTGATTTGTGGCTAAGGTTTTTAGCATAAGCAATAAGGTGATAATTCATTTACGTTGATAACGATCTTGAATTTCCATAATGTAAAGAGGGAAATACTTGAACAACTGTTTTTT